ATTTTTTTATGTCGGTCGACCATGTAAGAATGCATCCACACACCAAATATTTTTGTTCGGAAACTAAAGCTTTTGGGAATAGCTCTCATGGCGTAAAAGTCATGCATGTGAAAAAGTTCGAATCGCTGATGTATTTATAGTTCGGCCTCAAGTCATGAATTTTTATGCAATTGCGCCAATTTTTTCATGTCGATCGACCATGTAAGAATGCATCCACACACCAAATATTTTTGTTCGGAAACTAATACTTTTGGGAATAGCTCTCATGGCGTAAAAGTCATGCATGTGAAAAGTTCGAATCGCTGATGTATTTATAGTTCGGCCTCAAGTCATGAATTTTTATGCAATTGCGCCAATTTTTTTCATGAGGATCGACCATGTAAGAATGCATCCACACACCAAATATTTTTGTTCGGAAACTAATACTTTTGAGAATAGCTCTCATGGCGTAAAAGTCATGCATGTGAAAAAGTTCGAATCGCTGATGTATTTATAGTTCGGCCTCAAGTCATGAATTTTTATGCAATTGCGCCAATTTTTTTTATGAGGATCGACCATGTAAGAATGCATCCACACACCAAACATTTTTGTTCGGAAACTAATACTTTTGAGAATAGCTCTCATGGCGTAAAAGTGATGCATGTGAAAAAGTTCGAATCGCTGATGCATTTATAGTTCGGCCTGAAGTCATGAATTTTTATGCAATTGCGCCAATTTTTTTTTATGTCGGTCGACCATGTAAGAATGCATCCACACACCAAATATTTTTGTTCGGAAACTAATACTTTTGGGAATAGCTCTCATGGCGTAAAAGTGATGCATGTGAAAAAGTTCGAATCGCTGATGTATTTATAGTTCGGCCTCAAGTCATGAATTTTTATGCAATTGCGCCAATTTTTTTCATGAGGATCGACCATGTAAGAATGCATCCATACACCAAACATTTTTGTTCTGAAAGTAATGCTTTTGAGAATAGCTCTCATGGCGTAAAAGTCATGCATGTGAAAAAGTTCGAATCGCTGATGTATTTATAGTTCGGCCTCAAGTCATGAATTTTTATGCAATTGCGCCAATTTTTTTTATGTCGGTCGACCATGTAAGAATGCATCCACACACCAAATATTTTTGTTCGGAAACTAATACTTTTGAGAATAGCTCTCATGGCGTAAAAGTCATGCATGTGAAAAAGTTCGAATCGCTGATGCATTTATAGTTCGGCCTGAAGTCATGAATTTTTATGCAATTGCGCCAATTTTTTTTTATGTCGGTCGACCATGTAAGAATGCATCCACACACCAAATATTTTTGTTCGGAAACTAATACTTTTGGGAATAGCTCTCATGGCGTAAAAGTGATGCATGTGAAAAAGTTCGAATCGCTGATGTATTTATAGTTCGGCCTCAAGTCATGAATTTTTATGCAATTGCGCCAATTTTTTTCATGAGGATCGACCATGTAAGAATGCATCCACACACCAAACATTTTTGTTCTGAAAGTAATGCTTTTGAGAATAGCTCTCATGGCGTAAAAGTCATGCATGTGAAAAAGTTCGAATCGCTGATGTATTTATAGTTCGGCCTCAAGTCATGAATTTTTATGCAATTGCGCCAATTTTTTTATGTCGGTCGACCATGTAACAATGCATCCACACACCAAATATTTTTGTTCGGAAACTAATACTTTTGAGAATAGCTCTCATGGCGTAAAAGTCATTCATGTGAAAAAGTTCGAATCGCTCATGTATTTATAGTTCGGCCTCAAGTCATGAATTTTTATGCAATTGCGCCAAATTTTTTCATGAGGATCGACCATGTAAGAATGCATCCACACACCAAACATTTTTGTTCGGAAACTAATACTTTTGAGAATAGCTCTCATGGCGTAAAAGTGATGCATGTGAAAAAGTTCGAATCGCTGATGTATTTATAGTTCGGCCTCAAGTGATGAATTTTTTTGCAATTGCGCCAATTTTATTTATGAGGATCGACCATGTAAGAATGCATCCACACACCAAATATTTTTGTTCGGAAACTAAAGCTTTTGGGAATAGCTCTCATGGCGTAAAAGTCATGCATGTGAAAAAGTTCGAATCGCTCATGCATTTATAGTTCGGCCTCAAGTCATGAATTTTTATGCAATTGCGCCAATTTTTTTATGTCGGTCGACCATGTAAGAATGCATCCACACACCAAATATTTTTGTTCGGAAACTAATACTTTTGAGAATAGCTCTCATGGCGTAAAAGTCATGCATGTGAAAAAGTTCGAATCGCTGATGTATTTATAGTTCGGCCTCAAGTCATGAATTTTTATGCAATTGCGCCAATTTTTTTCATGAGGATC